ATTTCTCTAAAATGGATTGCTGAGGTGGCACATGGTTTTTTACTGTTTAGAAAATTGTGGTGCCTAAAATGCCCTTCCCTAACAAAAAAGTAGTACCTTCAGTGCAAAAAAATAGTACCTTCAGTTCAAAAAAGTAGTACCTTCGGAGAAAAAGTAGTACCTTCGCGGGTGTTTAAAAAACATGGTACCTGGACGCCAAAAAGTAGTACCTTCAGTTCAAAAAAGTAGTACCTTCGAAGAAAAAGTAGTACCTTCGCGGAAGGGTATTTTAGGCACCACAATTTCTAAACAGTAAAAAACCATGTGCCACCTCAACAATCCATTTTAGAGAAATATGGAATTTTGACTCAGCCTCTAAGTAAATATGAAACTTTGACTCCATTTATATGTAATTTTCCCTTTTTTTTTTTCCAATTTTTTTTTGAAAACAAAAAAACATGCCTTCTCCACTATAAATCATACGTTAGAGATTTGAATATAAATGGGGAACCGCGTTGGTGATGTATTATAATATTAAGGAGAAAATCATTGTCAACTACTCACTAAATCTACACCATCTGTCCAAGATACAATTAAGTTCTTCAAGGGAATTTTTTTTTTTTTTTTTTTTTTTTTGGGTCATTTGATTTATTGGTAAGAGTTTTTCTTTATTATAGCTTGCCTCACATCAAACCAAAGTTATAGATACACAATTTTCAAACCTTAAACCTCATCTACATAAATATATATATATATATATATATATATATTAATAAAAATAATTTTATTTCTTGTTAGCATATTACATTATTGTTACGTTATTAAATGATTTTACAAACTAGAAATGTACTCTGAATAATAGATGAAAATTTATGGAAGGAAAAAAAAAAACATGCATGAAATGAAGTTTGATTCAGACTAATCCACAAAACTGTACAGAATCTCGAATAGGTGATAGATGAAAATTGTTTTTGCACTGTTTGGATTGGTTGAATTTTTAGTTAGTTCCAACTATTTGGTTGGATTCCAATTTTCACAAAACTGTACAGATTCTTGAATTAAACAATATTACAACATTGTGGCCAAAACCTCCTACCTCCATAATTACTAGTCACTCGTAGTCCATAATTTTTCTCACTGTTTTCATGTTTAATGTATCAAGTAAGTGTACAAGGACACAATTCAAAGGCCTTTCAAAATAGCTTTCAATTAAACAATATTACAACATTGTGGCCAAAACCAAAGAATACATGTTTTACAACACAATTTAAAGGTTTTTTTTTATTGAATTACACTTGATTTATTTTTCTTATTGAAATAAATTATTAAAAAAATTATACTAATTTAATGACATATTTTCCATTAAATTATGAAAAAAAAAAAAATGAGCCACCCAAAAAAAAGTAGTCCGAATGCTGTATTGGCGATAGGGGACCAACCACTATGTGCCATAAAGGAAGTCCGAATGCTGTATTGGCGAGCCACGTGTATTGCCTCCAACAAAAACAATTGTTTCTCTATCCATAACAAACTTTGATTTTCTTAAAAATTCACTATGCCCACTAATTAATAATGCATGCTTTGTTATTTGAGGTTTGTATTTCTCTCTCTAATTGGATTTAATTATTTTAAAAATTAATAAATTTTAAAAGAATAAAAAAGAGTAAAAATTACTATAAAAAAAGGTCATGAAAGTATAAAGATGTGTTAATATGAATGGTTTGAACCATTTCTAGGGTGTCAAATAAATACATTTTCGTGCTTTTTCTTTTTATTTTACAAAGAAAGAGAGTGAAAATAAAAGTAGAATAAGATGTAGGTGACCCCTAAAATTTATGGTGTTTTAATTATTGCAAATTAGAAAAAGGAACCCCTTTTATACTTCAATGTTTTCTGAATTTCTATTCCATTCACACTAGGCATGTGAGAAACACACTAAAGGTGTAGTAGGGACGACAGGCGGGAGTCGGGGCATCTTTTACTACTGGTGCAACTTGAGTTGGGTAACCCGAACCCAACCCTCGCCCAGCCATATTTTTCAAGGACTTAGGTAATTATTTTTATAATTAGAGTTGGGTTTAGGTTGAAAAATCTTAACCAGAATTTAATTAGGGCTGAAGTGCTAGCAACCCGAATCAACCTGAACCCGAATTCTAATATTATTTTCATGTATATTTTTACTTTTAAATACATTATATATAATATTTAAACTATGATTATTTTTTTTTATTTTCTTCTTTTTGTTAAATTTTAACTTATTGTATGTTAACATTTAGGAGAACTAATTTTCTAAAAATGTTATTGTAATTTATTAAAAACCTACAAAATGTCTTTAAATTTTTTCTTGTTTATGAGTAATTTAATCTAAAACTAATTCAAGATCATATTAAATTTTCGATATAAGGATTAGCCATATATGTAATCCAAAATTTTTACCCGAAATTTAAGTTCGAATTACAAGCCCGAATTTCAAAGTAGAAGGATGGGTTAGGCTTGCGTTGAGTAGTTAAGGTTGATGATAGGGTTAGGGTTGGGCTTGGGTTTAGCATTTCATATGATATGTTGGACTCAAGTTATATCTCAAACCCGCCCAAGCCGCCTGAGTTGTAGCCATATCTTTTACACTTGTCACAATATTAATGTATTTAAATTGCTTAAATTTTCAAAAAAGAAAAATAAAAATAAAATAAAATAAAAAAATATTGATGTGTTTAATTCCATTACAATTCATTTTCCTGTATTACCCTTATGGTTAATTTCCATTGCAACATCGATCAGTTGAGCCATATATTCAACCACCGTTGCCACGTATATAGAGGAGATCAAAGAATGAGTGAATGAGAATATACAAGAATTTCACCAACACTTGCAGTTAAATTTTATAAATTTCAATATAATAGCAGGCAGTTAGATAAGTTATGCCGATTAACATATGAAAGATCAGCAATATTTAGAAACAACAAACAATTTAAAATCGTAGAATGTTTATAAGGTCAAAGCCCCCTAGGCCGGAATGAAGGAGGCTCCAAGCGCAACAATAAAGGCAAATACCGTAGCAATGATTCCGATTATCTGAAAGATATCAGCTGCCACTAATTTCTTCTTACGATGGAGAAATAATGCAATCAGAATAACAATGAATCCAACTGCAATGGCTGCTTTAACAAAGTAGGAAACCCACTTAGTTTTAGCCAAGTAAGAGGAGGTCCCATTCTGAGGGTAGGTCATCAAAGAAACAATCGCTTGACCAGTCATCGCAAGGAACATCTTCCCCAAATTCGTCTCATCATCATTTGGATCGCTGCCCTCGACTAAGCAACCGCTGCTCCTGTTCCGATCCATTTGGGTCGGAGTAGGCAACCCCTTCTCGATATCAAGTTCCCTACTTATCAAGTACTGCTGCCGAGGTGATGGTGGTGTACCGATTCCAAACTTGCCATGCGTTTCATCATCATTTGGTAAGCTTTTATCAATCTCACCCTACAAAAAAGACACATATATATATTTCATGCAAAATAAGAGTTGAAATTAATTGGAAGCAGATGAAAAGACTAGTGTTGGATCGATATATGCAAGTTATAAACATTTACTAAGTTCATCTTACTTGTGGGACTTGCGTGGTGCCATCTGGACTAGAGGAAGAGCTTTCACCAATTGCAACCATAGGAACTGATTTTCGTTGGATGGCCAGACGTTTCATCATAGTAATTAGACTCTAAAAAAAAAAAAAAAAAACACAGCTTTCATCAAAATAAGAGCTAGAAAGCCAATCAAATTAATGGCATTAATTAGCATGTGAAGCCTCGTTAGATTTTTGCCATCAAAATTAGGGCAAATTTAATTTATAGTTGCACAAATACGATTAAAAATATAACAGTAAAAAGAAAGATCACATGCATGTGTTTCAATGATTTCTCCCACCAGAATCCATGGAGCCAAAAATCAAAAGAGGAAAGGATTCCGGGAATTTTCCTCTTCTATTTTCCTTTTCTAACCTTTGCTCTTCTAATTTTTGGCTCCATGGATTCCGGCCATGGAGACCACCACTAAGTGAGGAGAATCCATGGCCCTAGTGAGGCGTTCGCGAAGGGGGTCGAGGTATGTGAATTGAAGACCCAACACAGTAACGATGAACCTCACAATTTGTCGGTGGTGAGATATGGAGGACCTTGACAACTGGTCGGAGATGTCGAGCAAGGGCTCGGTCTCTGGACAAGCTGAGCTCTCCGTCTAAAACGGAGCCGTGGGATCATGAGAAGTGTGAAGGCGTTACGGTGGCGCGTGGGTGGTGTCATGTGTGTACACTCTCTGTTCTGCCCACGGTGGAACTCCCACCGGCGATGGTGGTTCTGTGGCGAAAGTGAAAGTGACTAGTATATTGCTATGTATATATCGAATATGTTATGTATTTAAACATATTCTAACATAAGAGAGCCCAACTGTACAACGTTAACTTGGCCCCCCCACCATATATATATATATATATATATATATATATGTATATACCTGCTTGCACTTTCCGGAAAGGATATAACCACGGACGCCGCCAACGCCAGGAACACCAACGCTCTGCTTTCGGTGCTCTGGTGGTTCTCCCCTACCATAGCTTGTTTCAATGCGCTTACATTGCCCAAATCTTTCTTATAGGCAGAGGGAAAGCTGGGGAACTACCAAAAGGATGCTTTCGAGTCACTTTGCTACAGAAAATGAATGTGACAGATCTCATTTATTTCATTAAATTTAATGAAAAGGATGCTAACTAGTCACCTTGCTACGGAAAATGAAAGTGACCGCTTTCATTCATTTCTTTAAATTATTTCATTCATTTCATTAAATTTAATGAAATGAATGAAATCTGTCACTTTCATTTTTTTGTAGCATTCAATGAAATGAATGAAAACGGTCACTTTCATTTTCTGTAGCAAGGTGACTCGTTAGCATCCTTTTGATGATCATAATTTTGACTCTCAAAATTATGCTTATGAGAAAATTATGAGAACCGATGATCCAATTGAGAAAGGATGAATTTTGACTCAGTCATCCTTTCTGTAGCAATGAAAGTGCCTCGTAAGCATCTATTTTTGAGAAAGGATGATCATCCTTTCTGTAGCAATGAAAATGACTCGTAAGCATCCTTTTTGTAGACTTATAAAAGACTACAAGGAAAAAATAAATGTAACTTAGACTTAGTATGCTTTAATAATAAAATAGTCTAATTCTAAAGTTTATTTTTCAATTTGATTGAATTAAACAATTTTTTTTTTTTAAGGTTAAATTTCAATTATATATATAAGTATTGAAATAATTACAAGGAAAAACTATATATAAGTAGACTTAGTACTTTGAATAACAAAATAGTCTAATTTTAAAGTTTATTTTTCAATTTGATTAAATTAAACAAAATAATTAATCATACATCAATAATAATTATTAGGTCCAAAACACCCTTCAAACTCTTACTCTAAAATATCCTTAAAATTATATAATTTCAAAATACCAAAAGTCAATTAAGAAACCATCAAATCGGTGGATCCTGTGTTTGGAAGGAGCTTTGAAGGAGCGTGAGTGAAGAAAATTTGTGAAGAAAATCAAATCAATTACAACAAGCATGACAAACAATTAGGGAATATCTTACAAATCCAAATTTATTGTACACGCATTTTTTTTCCTCTTTATATGTACTATTTACATGTTTATCTCCTAGTTCCATTAATCATTCCAACTTTCTTTTTATGTTGCTTTTCAGCTAGGGTTGCAATTCGGGTGACTTAGGCAGGTTTGAAATATAACTTAAGTTCAACCCATGTTATGAAACGCAAAACCCAAGTCCAACTCTAACCCTATAAAAAATCTAAACTACTCAATTTGAGCCCAACCCAACATTTTACTTTTAAATTCGGACTTGCAACTAGGGGTTAGATTCTGAATTAAAACTTCGGATTAATTCTCATTACTCATATGGCTAATCTTTATACCGAATATTTAATATGATCTTAAATTAATTTTAGATTAAATTACTCTTAAACAAGAAGAAGTTTTAAAAACCTTTTTTTAATTTTTAATAAATTACAAACAATTTTTTAGAAAATTAATTCTCCTAAATGTTAACATACAATAAATTAAGATTTAACCAAAAAAAAAAAAAAACTTGAAAATAGAAAAGAGTAATCATAGTTTAAATATTATAATAAAGTAAAAATATATATGAAAATAATATTAGAATTCGAGTTCGGATTGACTCGGGTTGCGAGTACTTCAACCCAAGTCCAACCCTAATTAAATTCGGGTTGAGATATTTTAATCCAAATCCAAGTCTAATTATAAAAATAATTGTCCAACCACTTTTTGTAGCTTTCATATTACATCTATATCATGCACACTCTTTAACTTTTCATCCCTCAAATTGTTGATTTCTGTGTTATGTGCCATCTCCCTGCAAGTTGGAGATGCTTCCGGCATATGAAATTTATCACTTATTTTTTAATCTTGTTTTTAGGAGTCCTCGTGGCCTTGGATGCACATCCAGGAGGAATTATATATACAGATCTCATACCTGAATATGTAAACTATGCAAGGACCATCTATGAAGGTTTTGAGTTATTTTTTATCTTTTTCTGCAATCTAATTTTGGAAAAATAAGATCATGCAATTTTGTTGTTATTGCTAGATGATCTCGGGGATGTTGTTGCTGATGTCAATTACCTGAATGTCGGACGTGCTGTGTCTGATTGTCAGTTTTTTATTTGCAACTCAATTTACTTGAACCCATCTCAGATTCAAATATGCAGAACCGATGGTGTTCATATAATAATGTCCTTTATTATCAGCCACATCGATCCTCATCTTGTCCAGAATGCGATCAGTGTTTTGTTTTCTATGTAGTGCTTATTGATGCAACACCAATTATCTAACGCACTGCATGCTTGTATTCACGATGCCTACCCTTTTTCATCGACGATGCCTAACCTTTACCAGCAATTGCTGCTATAACACTGTTTTTTCTTGGTGTTTTCCTTTTTATACACACACATGACACATCGGATGTTCATGTAAAAAAAAGGTCATGTGAGTGGGTGGTTGGTTGGTGTATTTGAAATACTGAATACTGAAGTTCTGCTTATAAAATTTATATTGTATAAATGAATGTCCAATTATGACATTATTTTTGGATGATTTGCCATTGTTTTAAATTACATATGTTGTCAGGCAACTTTTTAACTGCATAGACGACATTCCGAAGGCTATATTTCTAGAATTATTTGGAAAAAAATTACCCATCAAAGTTCTCAAACACCCAACAATTCTTCAATCTACCAGGTATTATATATGCAGCACAACTATAGCAAGAAATTTAATGTCAAACCAAGAAAATGCACATTGAATCTGCATAATATCAAAAACCATCCAATACTTATTTACTAATGAGTAATGATATGTAATTCGCAAATTCAAATCAAATTAATTAAAACAATATGAAAAGTTTAGGCCACAAACTCTCAATGAATACCTATACATAACTACTAATTTGGTAGCAAAGGAAACAGAACTTTAGACAATGCATTGCAGTTGAGGGAAGATCTCATGAATGAGCTTTCCCGCCATAAACTTGTAAGCCTGTTGCGTGAGATGAACTCCATCCCAGCTAATGAATTTGTTTGATTCAGCACAAACTGGAACATCGGGAGCTCCACACATTCTTGTCATATCAAAATTATAGTCACCCCCAGTTCCACAGCAAGCTTTTTGGGCAGTCGTCGCATTAAATCCTGTAATTAAGAAAATTAAAAGAAAATATCATGGTTAACTAATCCTTTTATGAAGTTCAAATAGTTATAATTGATGCTTTGTCCAAGAAGATAATAACATCTGGTTCCCTATCTTCAATTAAGATTGAAATTGTTGTCCTGGACGGTGATTTTGTTGTTGATGATCAAGAAGATTGGTCTGAGAAGGAGTTCAATGCCAAAGTTATACGTGAAAGAGAGGGCAAAAGGCCACTGGTGACTGGGGATAGGGTAATTACAATGGAAAATGGAGTTGGCTATATTGGTGATATCAGCTTTACGGATAATTCAAGTTGGATAAGAAGTCGAAAATTCAGGTTGGGAGCCAGAACTGTTCAAAGCATTTCCACTGAAGCAAGAATCAGGGAAGCAAGAAGTGAAGCTTTTATAGTAAAAGATCATCGTGGAGAGTGTAAGTTTTTCTTCCTCACTGCTTTCCCTCTTCTTATTAATGAAAAACTTAAATTTTTGGCTCCTTTATATTAAATATTCCCAGTTGTACTCACTTCTACATAAGTAAACACCTGTATATATCTACGTCCATATACATGCTTATACAAGTGTTTAAAGTGCATTTTCTAAGAAATAATAAATTGTTGTCAAAGTTTCAACCAAACATAGGGAAATAAGAAAAAAAACAATTTTCATGAAAAATATTTACTGGTGTGAAAATATTTTAAATTGAAATAAATGTAGCTGTGATTGTAACAACATCCGTTTATTACTTATATGTCATTGTCAAAAAATTTAGTTTGTTGGTGGGTTGATCTCACAAAGTCTACTTAATTCAATCAATAAATGAGTACTTCGATGAGTGATTGAATTTTAGTTCTCACTCAGTTGACTAGTTAAAGCAAGTACTTGACTGCATAGCTTGATTCAAAACTACTTGCATGCCTTAGATTTTTTCACTTAGTATTAAATGTTTAGTACATTTAAGTTAATAATCATTTCAAATATATTACTAGATCATGTTAGAATCTTTACGTTATAGCATTGAAAATTAGGTTCTTGATAAATTTTGTTTGATAGCTAAAATAAGTTGCATCTTGAAATGTTCAGAATATATACAAAGTTACAAACACACATAGGTACACACATTAATTCATAACCTAGTCTTGGCTTTTGTACACAATTGTTTTTGTGTTAAATCCAACCTGATGAGCGGTGACATATTAAGTACAAGTTTCCAATTTTTAAAGATGATGTTAGCGGTAGGTGGAATTCTGAGACTGAGAGGTGATTTGTTAATTCAGCTTATAAGAAGCACCACCCTCCATCTCTGGGTGATGAAGTATGGCGCTTGGAAAAGATAGCAAAAGATGGTGCATTCCATACACGGTTGGCTGATAAAGGAATTCAATCCGTGAAGGACTTCCTTCGGTTCCGTGCCATTGATGAATCATCACTGCGCAAAGTAAGAGACAATCTTTTCTTTTTATTTTTCTTTCTTATCCTATACTGTATACACTAGATGTACGTAAGCAATATATATAGAAAAGTTCTTCCCAATGAATTCACTAACCTTGTAACTTTGAAGCTGCAGACACTTGGTGGTGGGATCTCTAACAAGTCATGGCAGGCAATCATAGATCATGCTACTGCTTGTGTTTTAGATGATAAGATGTACTTGTACTACATGGAGGCTGAAAGAGTTGGGCTTTTGTTCAATTCCATCTATCATGTTATAGGAGCAAACTTTGACGGCCAGAATTACCAGTCTCTGCATACACTCAACTCATATCAGATGGTTAGTACTTTTTGCCTGGAATTTGTTTTGATTAATAATTATTGTCCTTTCTCCTTAACTTTGTCTCAGTAGATCTTTCTTTTAGTGATATTATGTCTTTGTTTTGGTTGGTTGGCAAAGGATGAGCATGCACATGTATGGCATACCTCGACTAACATATATAGCAAAGACTTTTCAAACTGTAACATACGCTGGTGTAGTGATTAGGAATATTGTTAATTCGTATTTCTTTTTCCAATTTGATTTATGGAAGGGGAAAAATTATGTTTGGTTTAATTATTATAGAACACAGATCCATTGAAATTGCATCACACTACGTTACCAAGATTCTCTCTGGCCAACATCAGTAAGTTTGGACCCCTTGTTGACTAATTGCATCAGGACTCTCGAAAACCTTCAAACAGTCATTGATGCAATTTTCTTTAGATGCTTGCTTTGCAAAATTTTGTCTTGTTAACTTTAATGCTATCTTTCTTTCTTTTTATTTATTTATTATTGTTACCTTTTCCTAATCAAATTATTAACAATATTATCATAGTAAGACTTTCGTTTTCAACATTACATATTTGGAAGCAGAAAGGTCATTGTAGAGTAATGAATTTAACGATGGTAGTACTTTAGGCTGGTATATGAAAACAGATTTGTGTGTCCAGTGTGGGTACCAGTCCAAGTATAAGAGGACATAGCTAAATATTAATTTTCAAAATTCTCCTTTTATTTTCTAGAGTAAATTGATGATTCAATGTAAAAAGGGTATTTAACATGGATACTCATTTTAAAGCAATAATATAGTAAAAAGATATACTAAGAAAATTTTATGTGCAATTATAAGATAACCTTGAATTACGGGATATGCTTGCTAAACACATATCTGTCCAGATTGCCGGACACATGTAGCGTACCATACCCACGTGTTTTGTGCCAAGGACATAGAAACTTCCCTTGTTAGAGTCCATGTAACATAGAATTTAGGTTTTTGTTTTTCCGTTATGGATGGGAGATGTCTTGTTGTTTGGATGGCACTATTTATGCTCCAAGGGTTGTAGTCCAATAGAGTCTCCTTAGCTCCGAAGTGGTAGGTTGAGGATTCAATTCCCATAGGTGACGTAGGTGCATGTGTTATTTACACAGGACAAAAAAGATAAAGACATTCCCCCCCAACCAACATCTGTGATTGACTCTCTAGTTAATAAAGGAATGTTGAGGGTTGAAAATGATGGTGCCATTGGAGCCATGATTGGAAATTTGTGTGGGTTGAAAATGATGGTGCCATTGGAGCAAGGATACTAGCAGTTCTGGGAAAGAGAGAGAGTGGAATTTGACTTGTATGCAGATTGTGGTTAGTTGCCAAGCCTATTTAGGCAATGAAGTGAGAGTTCCACGCAAACACACAGAGAGAGAGAGAGAGGGGGGGTTTAAATTGAGTAAGCTGAGAAGTTCTCTTCTAGGAAGAGGGATTTTTAGAGTATGGAAGGTTTCAAGTTGCAATATATATTAAGAGTATGATATCCATGGATTTGGATTGGAAGTTTAAAAATTCACTACAGACTAAGAACATGTGGATGGCAAGCCACTACATCCTTCACGGCTCACGTGGTCACACCCTTGAATGGAAAGCTTAATTGTTCCAATTGATGTTCTATAGTGGAAGAACTCACTATAGTCGTTTGTGTCCACCACATGCATACACACAAATAGCAGCAAACATCCAGGCTTCATCACTTGAATGGAAAGGTTAATTGCTCCAATTGATGGCTTGAATTAAATGAATTCCACTTTTGCCATCATTAGTATCATCACAAATAGTGTATTTTGCTCTTAATTTGTTGGCTTCTGATTTTAATGTGATCAACTTAAATGTTCATTCAGCGGCAGGTGCAAGATTTGAAGCAGCATGCTTATAAAAATTTGAATAACTTGGTTGAAATTAATGAGCCATCTCTTGTTGGCCCTTCATTGCCATTATCAAGCCTCCAAGACCAGTTTGGCAGTCCAAATTTAGTTCAGGATGTTAATTTCCCAGTTTCACAGCAAGGTACGAAATTGTCGAGCTTTTCCTTTTTTATTTTTTGGTTCTTTTCTTTTCTTTATTTCTCTGGTGTTACTTGAATTTCGTAAGTAATACATAGAAGTGAGGTCCTTTTTCGGTGAATCAATAGGCAATTCAACAATTCAGTGCCCTTTCCCGTGAACAGTTTTATTGAATCTCTGAGGAGATTTTTATCAGAAAAGGAAACATTTGAAGTGGCCTGATAGGCTGCAAGGGTCACCCAAATGTGTGAGGTTTTCTTTTTGCAATGTAGACTCAACATATTGTCGATTACAGTGAATTATGAATTTCCTTAGAACTTTATATAATCAGTGAGAATTAAAAAATGCAACAGATTCAGTAAAGGGATTTAGTCTGTAGTAGGTTTAGGCACATCAGCTGTGTCTTAACAAGCCTAGGGCAATTTGGTTGTCTGTGTGCCTTTAGGGGTGTTTACAACTTTATTCACGTCCTATATGCTGGCTATAGGATATCAATATCTTTAAAATCCACTGATACTCTTCTGTAGTTAGTGATTCAAGTTCACGGTTTTCATTTTCCAACTCATATTTGCATCTCTAAAAGTCTCTGAAACCACATTTTTGCACAGATCAGCTGGAGATGCAGCTGGGTTTCAATCATACAACTTCAACCGGCTATGGCTTTGAAGTGGAAGATGGTAGTCAATTAGAGGTTTCTATGGGACTGAATTGTCACCCAGTGCAAGCTTTCCTTCCAATGCTGAGTAACAATTTGGTGGTGACTGATTCTTGCCCTGGACCCTACAGTGAAGCAAACAATTGGGCTCCCGGTGGGTCTCTGGGTCAAGTTGTGCAGATTGGTCACCCAATTCCTGAATATAATGCTCACTTGGAAACGTCAACATGGAAAGGGAATGGATTCTTCTTTCCTCCAAGCAATGGAAGAGTTGGAATTCGTTCATCTAATTTTGGTATCCAGATCTCAAGGAATGGAAAACCTAAAGTGAGGTGGTTTAAGGTTCGGGCTGCCTTGAAGTGGGGGATATCGGTTAGGCGGGATGTGGCTGCTAAAAGAATGGCAGGGCTCCTTTTACCTAAATGTCTAACCTACAGCTTTTAAGAAGCTAAATCAAAATTTGTGGAGGTAAGCTTCTCCTTAAAGGATTAGGTTAGTTTTTGGAGTATGTTTTGATCCACTTTAGCATCAAATGCAAAGGAAGGTTCTTGTATATACGTAGTTCATGGAAGCTAGTAATAGCATGATCACACCACGTCTTTTTTTATTCTTTCTTTCGTTTACGGTGAGTCAGGTTATATAATGTCAGTTAGTCTGGATGTTGCTGCTAAAAGATGGCAGGGGTTCTGTTTCAATTCGAGACTTACGAGCCCAGGAAACAAGCTCCTAGTATCATCTGAGACTTAGTACAGTGGTTTTTATTATTTTTTTTTATGTCCTCTTGCAATGTAGAGTTCTGTTTGCATCAAGTGCAAATTTGGTGTCTGTACATAATAAGTGTTCAGATGAATACTGTATTGTATTTGAGATTTGAAACTTCTACTGTGTTATTTGCATCGATCGGTGTTGTGTAATGATCTCTGTTGTCAACTGCATTGTAAAAATGGCTTCTATAATTCTGCTTATAACATTTATATTTTATAAATGGATGTGCAATTATGACATTATTTTTGGATGATTTGCCATAGTTTAAATTACACTTGTTCTCAGGCAACTTTTTAACTCCATAGACGTTCTAAAGGCTATATTTCTATAATTATTTGGCAAAAAAAAATTCCATCAAAGTTCTCAAACACTTCACAATTCTTCAATATACCATGTATTATGCAGCATAACTATAGCAAGAAATTTAATTTCAAACCAAGCAAATGCACATTCACTCCATAGATGTTGTTAGCTGCCAGTTTTAGTGTTGATAAAGCCGTAGAGCCAGCGACTGCAAAATTCACTCCATGTCTAAAGTCAGCTGCAATATTCTTGTACGGATTCAGAAACGGAAGTCCAAATGCCAATGTTGTCAAAATGTGAAAATATAATGCAGTTTAATTAGTAATAACTTAAATATATATATTAAAATAAAAAAAATAAAAAGTATATAGTGGCAAAGTAATATTTATGAATCACTGAATATGTAAAGTACTATTTCTGTATATATTTTTTGTAAGGTTTGTTAATACATGTTTTAGGTTCTAACTTCTATATTGCAGTCTTAATGTTCATAAATTTAGCCTTTATATATATCTCAAAACATAACACAAGTATTAGTTTTGCATTAACTTAAAAAACTAAGATATATAGTGCTGATTAAGGAAAATCGTTTAGGGAAGAATTTGGTACCTGCAAGGACAAAATAATTCACATTATTATTATTATTTTTCCTTAATTTTTGTATTATATATAAAAACAAAAAGAAATAACAAGAAGAAGATCGAAAAAGCATGGATAGTTTATCATAGTTAGATACTAACTATGTCGACACTGATTAGTATTCAGAATCTAAAACATATTAATGATACAAATAAAGTTATCAAATTATATAAAAGTTGACATGTGTGTGTATATATATATATATATCCGGTAAACAAAAGTTGACATATATTTTGGATACACTATATTATTCAAATAAAAAAGATTCATTAGACTAACTGCTAAAGAAATAAACAATTAATGAAGTTATATCAATTATGAATTTATGATACAAATGAGAAAGGAGCGAAAATCAACGACTTTTCAAAGTAGTCGATCATGAGAAGTCCGTTTGAGCATTGACCGGTGGCATTGTCGAAGAAATTCTGACCATATGGAACCAAAAGGCAAAGTAGCTCCAATTGAAGTCTCACGAATCAAATTTCTGGTGTCGGATATGGAGTCTCCGAGCTGATATATCTCATCAAAGTTGCAAATCTTCAAGGGATGAGCATTGCATGATTGAGGAAGATGAAGAACAGAGAAGAAGCTCACGAGTGTCACAAAAACACAGAAAAACACACTATTGGTATTAATGGCCATTACTCAACACCAAAGAGATCTCCCAAACAAGTTTTTTCCTAAACGTATACTCTATAATGTGTTGGGGTACTAATATATATATATATATATAGTGAATGAATTTCTAGTTCCACACTGACTGTGAAATAATGTTTCTTGTAAGCAATTCAAATTCTATATTATGGACATGGATTAAGTTTGTTGTTCTACGTACAAAAAGCCAAAAATATCCCTACTAGTTAGCTATGAACAAAATTAATTTAAGGGTATTCATGTAATTTTGTGAAGGAAAAAAAACATGAGTCATAGACATCATCGTCTGAATGTTGAAAATTTTCAATTAGAGTTGAATTGCGAATTGGATTGACCCAATTTGAGTTCAGCCCGGACTTTAAGAATATGGACCCTAGTTGAACATGGATGCAAACAAACTGAAGCCCATTTATTTGGTGTACTATACCAATCTGAATTTAATTTTTTTTTTGTTAAGTGGAACAAATCTGAATTTATTTCGAACATATTCAGTTCTTTTTTATTTGTTTTTATGTTAAGATCGGGTAGTCCCCGTTTTTGGTTCTTTTATTGCAAGCTAATTACGCAATGGGATCGACCAAAGGGAGGGATAGAAAGTTGATTCTTCGAAAGATTTTCAGTTTTGAATAGAGCATTTTACGAGAATTTCATGAAACAGAGGAGAAAGCCGAGAATAGTTCAAGAGAGAACAGAAAGGAGAGAAGTGAAGAAGTTATAAGAATGAGGTTAGAAAAGTCATTTCAATATTTAAATTGGTCAATATAAAAGTTAAAGGGTAAAAATGTTAATTTATTATCATTGGGGTGTATTTGTTAGTTGTATCAAATTTGAGGAGATGTCTTCGTTTAAAAAAGAGATAAGTTTCATTTGTGCATCATTTTCAAATCTTCAAAAGGTACTGTTCTACTTTATCCTTTTTGTTTTTATGGTTTTGTAACAACTCGACGCATAATGTATTTGGTTGCCTTGCGGGCTGTTTCGGCTATGTAATTATTTCAATACTTGTATCACAATTATACACACACCGCCAGCATTATCAAGGTGGATTTTTAGCCAAAAATTCAACGCGTTTGTGTGTGTGTGTGTGTGTGAGTGTCTACTTTCAATGGCCTAACCACGCCGGGACAAGTTGAACTTTTAATTTTTAAAAATTTTATATAATAAGTTTTTTATATTTATATAATTATTCCTTTAAAATTTGACAGCGCGTGCGTGCACACACATATATATAACTAAAAGTTCATTCACGGTTTTACAAAAAAAAAGAAGAAAAGAATATAATCATGACACAATTGTTAATATATATAATATATCTATCAAGAGGTATTATTGTACTTTATCCTTTTTGTTTTTATGTTTTTGTAACAACCCGAGTTTACCCAACCAACTTGTTTGAAAACTTTGCAGGAATTGGGTTGTATGGGCCCCTTTGGAGTGGGACGCATAATGTATTTGGTTGCCTTGCGGGCTGTTTCGGCTATGTAATGTGTGTGTGTGTGTGTGTGTGTGTTTCGGCTATGTAATGTGTGTGTGTGTCTCTAGCCTAACCACACTGGGACAAGTTGAACTTTTAATTTTTAAAAATTTTATATAAAAAGTTTTTTATATTTATATAATTATTCCTTTAAAATTTGACAGCACACACATATATAACTAAAAGTTCATTCACGGTTTTACAAAAAAAAGAAGAAAAGAATATAATCATGACACAATTGTTAATATATATAATATATCTATCAATTTATCACTTTTTCAAAAAATATGATATATATTTTTTTTTACTTTTTTAGAAAATATGATATATTTTTTTCTTTTCCAAAATATTATATTATTTCCCACTTTTCAAAAAAAAAAAAAAAAAAAAGAAGCATTTCATCAACATATTCTATCACATTTTTGACTCTACCACAAACAAATAAATTATTTTCATCACATCTTCATTCTTCAACATTTTCCACAATCCAAACAAAGCAAGCAGATCAACCATTTACCATTAGACAGAGATTCAGTCAGTCATACTGCAGTGCGGCAGACAAGTAATCTAATATATTTTTTTATCATCTAAATTTACGATTATTATTTCATATTATAATTTTAATTAGAAAAATTATTAGTTATTACTATCAAAATTATTTTAGGACCTGTTATTCTTTCAAAATTTACACAAATTATTATTCTCTAAATTGGACATATAATTTCTTTTTATTTGCAGCCCAAATCAATGAAATCATATATTCACTTACTCTATCGAATTTTCTGATTGATTGGATTATCTGGTTATAACTTATAAGTTTATATTTTGTTATCATGGATTTTATTATTATTATATTTTTTACATATGTGATATATTAGAACAGTTACAGTAACTGTGTTATTTTCTTTTTCATATCTTCTTGATTCATTAAATATGATTTTTTTTTTTTTAGTATATTTAATTAAATGAACTCAATTTTGAAACAATAATGAATAATGTGAAAATCGTTGGGAATGTACTAAGTAGAAATATTATGAATCAATATTTTAATTTTTACATATATTATTTTAGTTAAAATTTTATATATATATATATATATATATATATATATATATATATATATATTATTGCTATTAAAAATTGCCCCCACATAAAGAAATTTCTGGCTACGCCACTAGATACTTTTGCTTGTATTAATTTATTCCTCAATTCACAAGGTAAATTTATTTTTTAAACACTCTATTTTGGGAGCAATGAAAGTAATTTTTGTTAATTATTAGGTTGATTTTTACCGGTCTCATATTAATAGTTAATTATTCTTTTTTGGGTATCCCAAATTAATTTTTGTTTAGATATGTCCCCGCTAAAAAGAATTTTTAGTAGAAAGAGCATCAGCTGTTTTTTTAACCAAAAATTCCAACCGAAGTCTTTTTATGGTACATTAATGTTGGTGGGATACTTTTGCATGTCTCCACTCACTCTCCCTCTATATCTCACAATCAAAATATTTAAAATTCATTTTCCTGTATTAGCCATATGAACTTCGATCAGTTGAGCCATATATTCAACCACCATATAGACATCTCAGGTGATCAAAGAATGAGCCACGTACCCAGAAAAAAGTAGTAAAAGAAAGGATGAGGACAGTTAAATTTTATAAATTTCAAAATAATAGCAGGCAATTTTATTAACATAACCATACAAGCAACAAACACAAAAATCGTAAAATGCTTATAAGGTGAAAAGCCCCCAATTAATCTAGGCCGGAAGGAACGAGACTCCCAGCGCAACAATAAAGGCACATAGCGTAGCAATGATTCCTATTATCTGAAAGATACCAGCTGCCACTAATTTCTTCTTACGATGGAGAAAAATGGCAATCAGAATAACAATGAATCCAACTGCAATGGCTGCTTTAACAAAGTAAGTAGCCAAGTCAGAGGAGGTCCCATTCTGAGTGTAGGTCGTCAAAGAAACAATCGCTTGACCTGTCATCGCAAGGAACACCTTCCCCAACTTCATCTCATCATCATTTGGATCGGTGCCCTCGACTCTGTTCCGAT